AGATGCAGCAGGTGAGATGGAGTAGGTGAGATGGAGCAGGTGAGATGGACTAGGTGAGATGCAGTAGGTGAGATGCAGTAGGTGAGATGCAGCAGGTGAGATGCAGTAGGTGAGATGCAGCAGGTGAGATGCGGATGTGCAGGCTTTATTTTCCTTACATTACAAACTTTAGTGCAGTTTATTGTCCGACTCTTAACTATGTTACTGTGTGTTATTGTCATCTGTTTGGACTAAACACAGGAATGAGCAGCCTCACGTGTGACTGAACAGAAATGACGATAAATGATGTGAAACGTGTTTCTTGCAGACCGACTCTCTTGACTTTAATTGTCTCCATAATAAAAGTTGATGGGAGAAATAAATGAAAGATAAATCTTTCTAAAGAAATTTGCATGGGTGGGCTTTTGTTGTTCAGACCTACTATGAACTCTGATTTAGCCAGATTTCCAAAACTAAAATCTGTTTTAAATATCTGAGATGCAGAACCTGTTGTTGTACATGCTTTTATTTCCTCACGTTGTGATTATTGCTGCTCAGCTTTTAACAAGAACCAAAAGGTACGATCACATCACACCTGGTTTGGCCTTTTTACACTGGCTCATTTAGATTTACTCATGTAGCATTTATCTAAAGCAACTGACTTAAGTGTCCTTCATTGTAACATGGCAGATGTTTCGCAGAGACAAATCTTTTTTACTTGTTTTATCTTCTCTGATATCCTGCGTAGTTAATGGTATATTTTACTGATATTTCTATTTTCATTTTATTAATAATATAAAGAGATTATGGGGGTGCAATGGGTGCTTGAGCACCTGCCCTTTTGCCCTTTGCTGCCCGCAAAATGCAAAATTTCCTTCATTTTATTTATTTAAAAGTTGTAAACTATCAGTAAAACAAATTAATAATAAATTAATAGTAAATAAAATGACCTTTCACTTTATGACCTCATCCGTGACGAGCCCTCCCGTTCAGACACCGTTAGTGCCTACAGGACACCTTCGATTCCGCAATGTGCTTGTTGTGGATTGTTGCAAAGAGAGCAGCACAGTTGTTGTGTATTACTGTGTGTCGCCTGCCTGTAGAAGTAACATCAGCTGCCAGCTAACACGCCAACACACCGACAGCTAACGTTACTTCTATACACAGATAAACAAAGGTGCTCTGTTCACTTCCATGCTCTGTTTGGGGGAGAAAAGTTTCACGGGCGTCAAGAGGTCTGATCTTTTCTATGTAATTTGACTCAAATCTTTGCACTTGAACTAGGATTATTAATTATTATTTTATTATTAATAAAAGCCTTGTGCCTTAAAATAAGTACAACAACATTGGTAAAATTCTAAGCCTATTCCTCCGACTTACTCTTTATCAGCAATTTTAAAAATTATCATTAAATTCAGAACAGTATGGAATATATTTACATATTGACAGCAACAGTAGTGTTTACAACAACTCAACTACAATAAAAACTCAGTGGAAATAGATATAAAATATCAAAAATAATAATAATAATAATAATATTCCTGACATCAAAGTAAAGAGTGAAGAACAAATGGCCCTATAAGATTTCAGAAAAATGTATGAATTGTTAAAAAACATAGGATATATATTAGCTGATTTAACAATTATGTGACCTTGAAAAGATGTAAAGATTGTTGAGTGTTTGGGACTGGCTCACAGTGGCTGACTGCTCACAGATCTGCACACCAAGAGCTGCAGGTAACATCTCATTTTCATCATTCTTTCTTTATCTGATTTTAATTTAAAACACTTTCTTTATTGTATGTTTTCACCTTAAAGTGTTTTAAGGAAAGAGAGTGAAAATACCCCACAGGAAATAAAACCTAACTGGTTTAACCTCAGTATCCTGTCCACCTACAGTCCAAAGCTGTTGCTTGTTACAGTTTGCATGTTCATTTATCTGTTTAATACGCTCTACATAGAAGAATCAAATTTACCTTTAAAAGCTGAGAGACCCACCTGAATGAGTTCCTACACCAGTGGCCGATGTTTGTCCTCTGCATCCAAACCTCAAATATGGGAAGTGATAACAAGCGGCAGGCTGATGATGATCTACAGCTGCTCTTCTAAGGAAAAGGAGTGACGTGAATATGGAAATGATGCATCATGGAAATATAACACAAAATGTTAGCGGGAGAAAAACCCGTCACACTCCTCAAAATGTATTTGACTAAGAAATGTGCATGTGACCTGCTGACATTAAATGGCCACACTGATGTCACACCTGTTGATGTTTTCTTGCTTTCCAGCAGCTTATTTCTCTTTCTAAGGAAATCAGGATTTTAAAAAAATCTAATCATACCTTTAAAATCTGTCTACTTAATGATGCTGATTATGTTTCATGAACTTTAATTTCTTAGCTGTCATCATTTACTGGAATAAAACATCAGATAATGTTAGCATTAATGTTTAATCAGCACAAACAGCAAATTAATAACAAATACAGAATGAAGTAAAAAGGTATGAAGTAAGAACTTTGTGAGCTTTTACTAGACTCCATTCCTGAAATTTCTAAGCAGTCCCACCACCTTGCTTTCTTTACCAGCAGCTGTGGCTCAGGGGGCAGAGCAGTTGTCCACTAACCAGAAGTTTCCCCCAGTCTGTATGTTGTCCGTGGACAAGACACCCCAAACTGCTCCTGGTGGCTGTGCCATCACTGTGTGAATGTGAACGAATGAATGTTTATCTCCATTCTGATGAGCAGTTGGCACTTTGGCATCTGTCCAATATTCAAATACATACCATTTACCTCACGTTCTTTATTCAATCTTCCATGATTGTTTTTATTCTCTAATGTCTCTATGGCCTAGTCCACACAAACACGGGAGTTTTTATAACCAGAGTTTTTCTTCCTTAAGCTGCTCTTCGGAGCAGTTTAGAGATGCAGCGTAAATTGCCAAAGTAAACCACCTTCGTGGTACTGAAAAACCCAGGGTTAACCCCGAAGTTACAGGCCCCTGCTGGTATTATTTATCAAAACAATAAACATTAAAGAGGTGGTATTGTGCTCATTTTCAGGTTCAAAATCCTATTTAGCGGTTGTTCCAGAACAGGTTTACATGTTTTAATTTTCAAAAAACACCATATTTTTTTCTCATACTGCACATTGCTGCAGCTCCTTTTTTCAGCCTGTGTTGAAGGCTTCGTTTTAGCTATGGAGTGATGCATCTTGTCTCTACATGATCTTTGTTGGGAGTTGCACATGCTCAGTTCCTAGTTAAGGACTACTAGCCAATCAGAAGCAGAGAAAGGCAGGTCAGTGAAAGGCTGGTTAGAGTCAGAGAGTAAGTATTGATCTGTGTGTGGGGGTTTCCTGTATACTCCAGTGTGGAGGATCCTGTCCTCTTCAGTGTGGACGGCACAGTCCAAGAAGGCCAAAGTGTGGCTGCTGAGTTTAAACGCACTTGCTGTAGGTTTTGGAGAAAATTATCTGCCGAATGAATGCAATTTTACAGATAAAGAAAGGTAGAATAACATTTCTAAATGTATTCTTTAATTGTAAATAGCTAAAGCAGACTCAGTGACCCAGACAACAGAACTAATGTGAGCTGGACAGAGTTTTATCCAGCTTTTGGGCTTTCCTCTGGTTTGGGCTAAGAAAAGATTTGAAGCTTGAACTCTCAGTGACATCTAGTGGTTTAGAGAAAATATAGCAGCAGTCCAAGCTGCAGCCCAAACACTAAAACACCTCACTGATTTCATGCTGTAGTTTTAATCCCAGTGCTCAGTAAACATCTAGAAACTATGTATTGTTTATTTAATCTATATTATTCCCCCTGCAATAATATTTTGAAAAATAAATATTAGTGTTTGTGGCAATGACCACACTCTCAATCCAACAACTTATTAACATTTATAAAAGCAAGAAATCTGGCTTTAATATTTGGCTGATAAGCAAAGCAGTGTGAAACTGCCACATATCTGAAAAGGTTTTAACTGCACTTCTCAGGGCTGTGCTCAATAATGGAAAACTAGCATATGTTTGTTCAAAGGGACTTGAGAGTAGGTCGGGTCACAGGGGCAGCAGCTCCAGCAGGGGACCCCAAACTTCTCTTTCCCGAGCCACATTAACCAGCTCTGACTGGAGGGTCCCGAGGCTGAAGATATAATCTCTCCACCTAGTCCTGGGTCTTCCCCGAGGCCGCCTCCCAGCTGGACGTGCCTGGAACACCTCTTATAAACCAGCTTCAGTAATTTCACACTGTATAAAATATTGTCCAGTTGGCCTGAGGAGTAGAGAAGACTTGTATCTGATCCAGTTCAACACGAATCTATCTCGTATCTCTACGTATCTCTTATATTTTACAGTCACATTTATTCATTGACACTTTTGTCTAAAGTGACTTATGAATGAGGAAACTTTGTTTTGTCTGTAAAAAGTCTGAGAAGCAGACAGTAAAACAGGAAGCTGCTGCAGGGGATCACTGACACCATCTGTTAACTGACAGATTAGTAAACTCTGCAGCACTTTGAGGCTTTCATCTCAGAGCTTTCACACTTTGAACTGTATGTTTTCCTTTTTAGTACACTCGATGGTTGATCCGCTGTTCATCAGACTGTAGTAAATGAACACGTTTCAGGACATTCTCATCTTCCTGACTGAGAAATGTGTTGGAGTCACGTTTAGAAGAGAAGTACGGCCCGTTGTGTTTATTAATGAGGTCAACACCTGCAGAGTTTCACTACAGTAAATTAGCTTCATACTCAGTCTAAGTAATTCATCGACTCAGACATACTATGAATTACGGCACGGATAAAACCAACAACTTTTCATTTTCTCTGATCATCACAGTCCTGCAAACTACTGCGTTGCTGATTAGTGGGCCAAACAAAGCTTAACTAGCTAAAGAAGCATCCATGGCTGTTGTGACAGCCTCTCTTTCACACAAATACCAGTATAAACATAGAAGAGAGATTTTCTGATCTATTGTTAGAGTTTTAGTTTAGTTTCCTTGACTGTGTCTCAATTAGTGTTTTTATTTCTCGTACTTCTTACTTCATCTTATCTCTTCTCTTCTTACACTTGCTGTTTTGAGGGCATTCACACTGAGCAGTATGGCAGAGACTGTGGAGACTGAAACGAGGGCCAAAGGCCTCACGTCCCTCCCTTACAGCCCCACACACTTTTAAAATCACTGCTCGTCAACTCGTCTACGTCCCCTTCCCTAATGAAAACATACAGAACCAGGTCTGCTAGAGGACTGGACTGAATGAATGTATAAACCTGAATTGCTGACAACAAGAGGTCAATGCCCCCACCCCCTGGAGGAGCTACACACTGACAAAGCGTCTAGTTGGCACATGATAATACAGGTGTTTTTATTCATAGGAAAGTCATATTGTGTTAAAAACAGCAGCTGCTTAAAAAAAGCTTGAATGTGTCTGCTTGGATTTCACTGTTCTATGGCCCCTCCCTTGAAGGTGTAGTTACTCTTAAAGCTCACTTAGGACGAGGTCCTGAAGCTCGGCTGAACAGAAACATTTAGATTTACAGCAATGGAGAAAAGGGTCCTGCCTTACGTGCGACGTGTCTCTTCAGACCTACGTGACTCAAGAGGGCGCCATATTGTTCTTTCATTCACTACATTCATTTTGCACTCTGTCACCAGGAAGTCCTGCATCTCACCAACCCCCACAGAACATCTGCATGTACTGTTTGGCTACAGAGGAGAGATTCACATTCTTGCACATAATGTTCAGCAGATTTATTGCCCTCCTCCTTTAGATGAATAAACTTTGATGCTGGGTCGAGTCTGTCCACGTTCAGAGTTTTGTCTCCCCTGTTTGTTATCTGTGTGTCTGTCGGCGTGACTTTCCTTCCTCCACGTCTCCTGGCTGCTGGCTCCACACACCTGTTCACAATCCACCAATCGTCCTGCTCACCTCACTCACCTGCCTCTCATTAGTTTGCTCACCTGCAGTACATCAACTGCAGTTTTCCATCCACTCTTCACCAGATGTGTTTTCAGCCTTAGTGATTCTCTCAGTCAGCAGTTTGCTCTCTGGTGGATTTTGCTTGTTGTGCCTTGTCTGTGCTTTACCTGTCTGCTAACATCTGTCTCTGGTGCTGCAGGATCATCACATGCCCGTCTGCCTCCTGTATGCTTCCTGCCAGGCTCGCTTGCTCCTTGAGCCACATAGATCCATCACCTCCACTCTCTCTCCGCCTCCTCTGGATTCCCCTGCCACCACATTCATTCTCCCACCTGGTTTGCAGCAAAGACTTACGGTACAACAAGTCCTGCGTTTGAGTCCAGCCTGTTAGCAAACACAACGTACCTGTGTAGCGGTGTAGATGGGCAGACGGTTAAGTTTGTGTTTCAGAGGACCCAGGAGCAGACACACACTCTGAAGTTTGTTGAGAACAAGGTATTTTAATGAGCAACACAACGAGGCTGGAGAGGAAAGGGGAGCGTGGCTGACGATGGTGGGAGGCTGGCTCGCTGACTGAAGAGGAGTAGTGGTCTGAGGTGGTCTGAGGAGTCTGGGGTGCAGAATATGGAACAGGAGCCGAGGAGACAAAAAAGGCACGTGAGCGATACAGTGAGAGAGTACTGGAGAATACAAAAGACAAACCAGTTTTCTGGGCAGAGAGAGTAAACGAAACCATCAGGTGACGAATGGCAGGAGAACAGGAGCGTCTGAGTGGAGGAGGTGATTGGGATCAGCTGTGGAGCTTTTTAGAAAACTGTGATTCACAGATTTTGAAACACACAAGTGTAACAGAGAGTGGATTTTGCTGCCATGCTGGTAAAGCAGTTCACGTTGGAAACCATGTCATTATTTTAAGACAAGCAGAGTCCATCTTTCATTTCAAGCCTACAGGAAGAGTTTGAGACTCAAAGCAGCTCATCTAAACTTACAGCTGCGGTGACGACAGGCAGCCATCTCAGGACCACAGAACAGAATAATGCATATTTGTGCCTTTCTCACGTCTTCAGAAGAGGAAGTGCAGATTAACAGGAACATGCTGCATCTTTTTACTTACTATATTCACTGTAGAGAAACATTAAAGGGGAACAAATGAGAAACCCAGAAAGTCAGACTGTATTTGTCTGTAACATGTTGAGGCAGATGGCCGTTGATCCTGAGTCACAGTTCAGCTCGAGGTTTCTTTGCCTCTAAGCGTGGCTCATTTAGTATCATTAATTAGTAAAGCGTTATCAGAAACAGAATATTTATGAACAGAATCAATATCACTTTCTTCCTCATGTGCTAGTTCATCTGTCAGCAGGTGTTTGCTCATGGTGGGAAGTGTTAATAATATTACAGAGAGGACGGCCTAGACCCGCGCCACATGAAAAATTCAATCAGACAACTTTTGTTTTTAAGTGGGGCTATATAAATAGAATTGAACTGAAATTTGAATCATAAGGCAAGAGGTCCAACACTATCATTAAAACAATCAGAGAACTTGGATGGTAGCTGTACAGTACATACTGGGTCAGACCAATTACACTGAGTTTAATTTGTTCTTCTCTCATTCCCTAAATATGATGTTGGCATGTAAAAAATAGTACCAGCTTTTTTAGAAGAATGTGATTCACAGATTTTGAAACACACTAAGCACGACTAACAGAGAGTGGATTTTGCTGCCGTGCTGGGAAAGCAGTTCACTTTGGAAACCATTCAATGGTTTTGAAGACGAGCAGAGTCCATCTTTCATTTCAAGCCTACAGGAAGAGTTTGATACTCAAAGCAGCTCATCTAAACTTTCAGCTGAGGTGACGACAGGCAGCCATCTCAGGACCACAGAACAGGATAAAGCATATTTGTGCCTTTCTCATGTCTTCAGAAGAGGAAGTGCAGATTAACAGGAACCTACTGCATGTTATCACTTACTATATTTACTACAGACTGTTTAGCTGCAGAGGACAACACACCAGACTTTGCAGTAGGGAACTCTTTCAATTGGGGTATCAGAGCTTTCAAAGGTAAATTGTGTGACATTACTTTTATATGTAGAGATGATAAGAACTTTAAACAGTCATGAAGATGGATGTGCAGGAATATAAAACTGAAAGACAGCAGTTTGTGATTTGATATGATTGTGGGTAAACTATAGGTACACTGTGTTTGTGTGAACTTCACCTCACAGCTTTAGTGATGTCACTGAACAATGTTAGGTAGATATTAAAAACCTGCTCCCTTTAATAACCTGATCTCTCAAACAGGTTTCACTCTGAAGAATGGAAGGTCTCTACTCTAACCCTGATTTCATCCCGAATGTGGTGACATACGTAATCGTCGCTGTCGGCCTTCATCTGACGCTTCTGGCCATCTATTCTCTTTATTCTATGGTATGTACATTCTGACTGAGAGTTATTTATTTCCTGTCTGTGTCGTGTGTCTGTCCTACAGTCTGTCTGTCTGTAAAGGATCTGGATCTGGTTTGGGGGCTAGGTCCCCTGGGGGCTTACAGGAATAATTGACTCCATAATTAAAATGTCCATGAAGCTGATTGGACCCTAAACAGATGCAGTTTCCATGTGTGGCTCCATCCAGCCTTCTCTTAAACTGTTGAGGTTAATGGCACCATTTAGTTACAGCTCAAGACAAACATCAAATAGTCAGAGCAGTTTGTGCAGCAGTATTTGAGAGGAAATTGTGAAATCTGGAGGCATTAATTTTGTATTTTGTTTTTTGAAAACTATTTGATGGATTGCATTCCTATCTAGTTATCATGCTGGAGATAATGTGACTATTTCTGAGGATGACTGCGGTGCAGCTGAAACTATTCATGTACTTTATAAGTGAGTTTTTCATTATTAGCTGCTGAGAGTCTGAAGTAGCCTAATAGGCTACAGGAGAATTTCAGCACTTTATCATTTATTGATGAAATTCCAGTCTGCTAAATGATGAATGAGCAACGCTGTATAAAATGTGACACAACGTATTGATCCTTCCTCCACTCCTGTTTTTAAAGACTTTGTCATGGTCCACGTTGGCACCCATTCATGTTTCTACAGCACCACTGGATTAAAATGGAGGCTCTGCTCGTTATTTACCCACGTAGTATCAGAGCTCAATAGATGATTTTTTTTCATCCCCACGCAGGCGCTTCCATCAGGTTCAACATACCTGAGTTGATTGAACTAATTCTGATCATCTGTTCAGGAAACTTTCCCAGCTCACTCCCACCTTCTGTTAACATGGCTCCTCTTCTTATTTGTGCGATCCTCAATATAATACGTTTACAATGAGGAGAGATTCTCACCTTGCAAACACAAACATGAGCCTCAAACTGCGACTCCAGTCTGGATAAATCCAGCTCATGTGTTTGAGACAGAATGCTTCATATCTGTTGCTGAAAAACTGCTGCAGAATCTGCAGGAAATCTGGTCCTTAGTCTTGTTACTGCAGTGATTGGCCAGTGGGTCATATCTGAGATTTCTGTTGGATGAAAAAGTCAGAAATGGCTCTGACTGCAGCTGCTGGGCAGAGCAAGATGACAGATTTGGGAGGAGGTGGACTTCACAACATGTTTCCAACTGCTTGTTGACTTTTACCAATGTTTTCCTGCAGGTGAGAAGAGATCATGTTGCTCCCATCTACGTCATCAACCTTCTCATTAGTGACTTGATTCAGCTCTGCTTCATGATTGCTGATGTGGTACCAACTGTGGATAGGTGGACACATGAGATCTTCGTATATATTTACATCTCTGCTCTGTTTGCCAGTGTTTACTTCATGGTCTGCATCGCCCTGGAAAGGTATCTATCTGTCTATCCAGTATGTGTGGAGCTCCTTCTGTGTCTGAACATTATATTAGTTTATAACTCTGAAGCTCCTCAAAGACTTTGTGTCCATCTTGTATTACAGGTATTTGGTCATCGTCCACCCGCTGTGGTACCGCTTCAGACGAACCATCAAGACCTCTGTGGTGGTCTGTGTCCTGGTCTGGGTCCTTTCTGGTGTCTGTGGCGTCCGTTTCTATTTCTTTGTTGAAAATCTGGTGACACACATAATGTTCATCATCCTCCAGCTCCTTCCCTTCCCGCTGTTAATCTTCTTCCTGGTTGGGACCCTCAAAGCCCTGTCTGCTTCCATCTCAGTCCCCTCTGATGAAAAACGTCGAACTGTGGGAGTTTTGGTTCTGTTGCTGCTTATTTACACGCTGCTGTTCCTGTCCAGCATCCTTTGGTACCTGAGTTTAATTCATGACAGGACCAATTTAATTCTGTGTCTTATGATTGTCAGGTTCAGTCCTCTTGCAGACTTGTTCCTGTATGTTTCATGAGGAAAGGGTTCATAGACAAGCTTTTGGCCTCTGTGTGTTGCTGCAGAATGGACAGCAATGATATCAGCAGTCCATCAGTATGAATGATGACAACATTTCCACAGTCAGCTTCATGTAGGCAGAGAAAGAGGGAGAGAGAAAGGGGAGGAAACAGGAGGAGAAATGGAGGCCAATAGAAAGGATAGAGACGAGACAGATCCTGTCATCTACTGAGACCATTTCCAATAAGACACCTAACTGTAGAGACCAGGAAGCACTGTTTGGACTCTGCTGTGGGAGAAGTGGCTGCTGGGAAATGTTTTGGTCAACTTGCTCTGGTTCACTGTGATGGCTTCAACACATGGAAATAAAATGTGTTTTATTAGTTTGGAGCTGGAAGTTGATGTCTGTCATTATTCTCCTTTCATCCCAGAAGCAAAGCAGATATTATTTTCTTTTAGATGAATGTTTTTAAATGAGCAAGCATTTCATTAGTGTATTTTATCTGCATGATGAAGTCTGGTTTTGATGTGTGGGCTGTTACTGTTGCATACAGTATGTACAGTATACACACACAGGCCACTTTATTAGGTACACCTGCACACATGGCAGCAGCTCAGTGTATTTAGGCTTGTAGACGTGGTCAAGACAACTGAGGGTCTGAGTATTTCAGAATCTGCTGATCTACTGGGATTTTCACACTCAACCATCTCTAGGGTTTACAGAGAAAGGTCCGAAAAAGAGAAAATATCCAGTGCACCATTTTAACATTTTAATGTTATTATAATAATAATACATTTGCCCCCAAACCAGATCCTTTACAGACAGACAGACTGTAGGACAGACACACCACACAGACAGGAAATAAATAACTCTGTCAGAATGTACATACCATAGAATAAAGAGAATAGATGGCCACCAGGGTCAACAGGAGGCCGGTGGCAATGAATATGTATGTCACCACATTCATGATGAAAAAAACTGTCATGTAATACTCATAGTCGCTGTTGATGTAACCATTGTAGCCATAGGTGATGTTGCTGTGGTTAAAGCTTTGGTCCTGTGAGGTGCTGTTAGAGTAGAGACCTTCCATTCTTCAGAGTGAAACCTGTTTGAGAGATCAGGTTATTAAAGGGAGCAGGTTTTTAATATCTACCTAACATTGTTCAGTGACATCACTAAAGCTGTGAGGTGAAGTTCACACAAACACAGTGTACCTATAGTTTACCCACAATCATATCAAATCACAAACTGCTGTCTTTCACTTCTATCATCATTCCTCAACATTTGTCACATTTAACTTTTATTTAATCAAAGAAGAAAAGAAGAACAAATATCTGTACGTGCTGATGTGAAGTCGTTACTGCAGCCACAGAACATCGTCCAGCTGTTTCACTAACTTAATGTTTAATGTTAATGCTCTTTGGTTTAGGACATCCTGCCTGTCTCCTGTACTCGATGCCCCTCTGCCCTCTGAGTTTGGATCAGGAGGTTTACATGATCTGCAGATTTTATCTTCAGGGTTGTGTTAGAAAAATATTTGTTGCATATCAACCCCGAATTAACATTCTGAATAATAATAGCGGGGGAGAGGGGGGAAGGTTGAAATAGGATGAATCGTCTCCCCATTTAAGCACGAGGTACAGCAGATATTATTTGAATCAGCCGACACTCAGACAGTATCGGTCAGGATGAACTGACAGCTGTAATGCAGGGAGTCCTGTAAATAACAGACCAGTTAAAGCTGCGCAGGGATCAGAGACCTGTGTGTAATCTATGGAGAGAACATGGGCATGTGCGAGGAGCTGCAACTACACAACCGATGAAAAGCACTGTCCCCAGTTTGGCTGTCATTGAAAGTCTGAAAACTGACAGAACTCGAGCAGAGTCCTCATTAAACATCACAACAGCAGCCTCTTTAATCATGAAAGTTATTCACTGAAGCACAAACACAGCCTATAGAAATCTATTTACCCATAATCCATCTGGGGAGCCATCGTCTTGTTAAAGCCGCCCAGCTGATGTGACACCAGGCATCATGTGCACCTCGCGCTTTAAGTCCGGACAGTAACATAACTGGTAGAGTTCTGCAATATAAACATCTAAAACTGAAGTGGAGTCTTGCTCTGTGAGCTGCACTTTATCGGAGCTGCTGAAGTTAACGTGTGTGTGGATTTGTGGTGAGATTTCTGCCTGATCAGTTTTCGGTTGGTTTCGGTTTCACATGCAGCATGCATTCCCAAGTCGGTCTGAAGGGGATAACGTCACAAACTGCGGAGCAATAAGTAATGCACTGCAGAGTAAAGGCCAGGTAGAACTAAAAATATTATGAATTCTCATTAGATGTTGACATTGCTCTTGTAGAATTATATTACTATAGCCTTAGTGTATCACAGACTGTGATTCTTACAGCTGAATCATTAATAGCTGCAAGCATGTAGTCCTGGGGCTGACTGTAAAAGTATCAGGAATGTTTGTCCTGTGGTGTCCGAACAATAATACACCACAGTCCAATTATAATAATAATAATAATTTTGTTAATTATTATTTTTCGCACCCTGCAGGTTAGGTTTGGTCTACCTATTTAGGCTATGATGCGGAGACTGATCAAACATTATGGACCATGATTATTGACTTGGCTGTTCATCTATACATGCTAAAATTGTGAGTTTGGCTGCTGAAACCTTTAAAGAGGCGGTATTCTGCTTTTTGGCTTTTTTCCCTCTCCTGTAGTGACTTAAATACCTTTTTTGTGCATGTAATAGGTTTGCAAAGTGAAAAAGCCCGAAGTCCGACACGCCCTCAAAAACAGCGGTGGAAAAACAGCGAGCTGCAGCACACAGCTCTCCTCTCCCTTCCAAACACTAGCTACCCTCCAGGCAGTCAGTGGACATAAAGTTGTTCCTGTGATGTAGAGACAGAGCTCAGTTAAAACTTTATGGATGAAAGATCCTTTTGTTACAGATTAATAACTCACCACTCTGAAACTCTCGCTCCAGTCCATGTTGCCAAGCTGGTCTGCAACATGTACAGCTGAACTAAAGCTGTTTACTGGGTTCTCATTGACCCGCCCTTCTCTGCTTCTGATTGGCTAGTAGTCCTTAACTAGGAACTGAGCATGTGCAACTCCCAACAAAGATGTCTATGAAGATTCTCAGTCATCCAGGTCATAGTTTCATTTCATTTCATTTATTTATTTAAGGACAGTGCACATTAATCAACATTTCTGTAAAATGTGCCAGTGTTAGCCAGCAGGCTAATTTTCAACTGTAGTCCATAGTTATCCAACGAAGATTAAAATCAAGGGCAAGTGGATTTGGTTGAAGATACTGGAAGACGTTTCGTCCCTCATCCAAAGGACTTCTTCAGTTCTGACTGACTGGCAGGGAAACTCAGCTATTTAACCTCAGTGGGGTCGTTGGCCCGGGTCATCGATACCGCTGGTTCGTTAGTGGTATCTTCACCTGAGGTCAATAGGTTACGTTTGTTGTCCTTTCATCACTTCCCAGGAAACTCAACAAACGTAACCTATTGACCTCAGGTGAAGATACCAACGATGGTCGTTCAGTCTTGGCCACAGGTAGTCTTAACGACTGTAATGACTGTCGTCACAGCAACAAGGAACACTAATATGATACAAACATATGTAGTTTGTCAGCAGCCACTAGCGGTGAGGTTTTAAGACCAACAAGACGTGTGCTCGTACGCGTGCTCACTTGAACTCATGAGCGAGCATAATCCGTAACACATCCGTTTTCATGCAGAGATCGTGCAATAAACGCGAAAACACCTGCATACGGCTTATACAGATTCCTGGAAATCAAGGACATGTTTGTATCAGATCATAAACTCATTACTTTAACTATCAACTAAAGGCTGCTAGTATTGGTCAGTATTTGATAGTAATGAGCTGGTCAGCTAAATTCCAACAAAACAGAAATCCTGGTTATCCTCATTTTGCAAACCAATTACACATATCTACTGGTCACATTTCACAATAAATGGAACCTGTTGCAAGAAATCTTCTTGTCTTATATCAGTTTATGGCTGCTTCTTAAGTCTCTTAATTGAGAGAAGACAGCACACCAGTTACAATTTAAATAGAAATACAGCATAGTCTAAACAAACAAACAAGCATCACACACATAGGAAAGGGACTAAACCAGGTCACGTGTTGTTACATTTCTTAGTTACATGGCATTTAACATGGCTTTGTGCACTGTGTTGGTACTAATAAAGAGCAGAGCAGCATGATCCTCTCTGTAACTGTTACCGGTTTAACACCTACACATGAATAATTATAGGTTTCTGTATGTCCTGCTCAGAGGCACTGGATCATTTCTACAGGCAAAATGCTTGTAAAATCTGCATTTATATTTATTGATTCTAATTGTGAATTCCTTATTGAATAACCCAGAAAAGGATCATGGTCTCTTTGGATTTATTAGGCTACAGGTGAGATGCAGCAGGTGAGATGCAGTAGGTGAGATGCAGCAGGTGAGATGCAGTAGATGCAGCAGGTGAGATACAGCAGGTGAAATGCAGGTGAGATGCAGTAAGTGAGATGCAGCAGGTGAGATGCAGCAGGTGAGATGCAGCAGGTGAGATGCAGCAGGTGAGATGAAGCAGGTGAGATGCAGTAGGTGAGATGCAGCAGGTGAGATGGAATAAGTGAGATGCAGCAGGTGAGATGCAGCAGGTGAGATGGAATAGGTGAGATGGAGAAGGTGAGATGCAGTAGGTGAGATCCAGTAGGTGAGATTCAGCAGGTGAGAAGCAGTAGGTGAGATGCAGCAGGTGAGATGCAGCAGGTGAGATGCAGCAGGTCAGATGGACGAGGTGAGATGCAGCAGGTGAGATGCAGTAGGTGAGATGCAGTAGGTGAGATGAAGCAGGTGAGATGCAGTAGGTGAGATGCAGCAGGTGAGATGGAATAAGTGAGATGCAGTAGGTGAGATGCAGCAGGTGAGATGGAATAGGTGAGATGGAGAAGGTGAGATGCAGTAGGTGAGATCCAGTAGGTGAGATTCAGCAGGTGAGAAGCAGAAGGTGAGATGCAGCAGGTGAGATGCAGCAGGTGAGATGCAGCAGGTGAGATGGAGTAGGTGAGAT